CATTAGGAAGTCTGTTGATCCACTAGCTTAGTTTTGTTGTTAACAAGCACTACCTGGCATAAAAACAGTATGAACTAGCATGAAAATCCATTGTTCATGAAGCTTTATGGCATTGAATCTGGGTCAGGGCAGACCTTGTATTTTCTTACAGCATCTACATTTATTTATTTAGTCATTTAGCAGATTTAGAACATTTATCTAACAAATTGGCTACATTTGCTTCTCAGGTTTGTGGTCTCAACTGCTTTAAGGTTGAGGAAGATAAACCAGGATGATCTTGATCAGATCACCAAGCTCTCGCAGCCGAGAGATCTCACAGACAATCATTCCAAGCTTCAGGCCATCCTTGCAGCTCTTGATCACTTCCGGCTGGATATCGGTGTGCTGGGTGAGACGGGCTGTGGCAGCTCCAGCTTGGTCAATGCCCTCTTGGGCCTGGAGAATGGTGATGAACGAGCTGCCTCAACCGGTGTTATTGAAATAACCAAAGAGGCTGTGAAGTATCCCTATCCCTCCCCCAACGTCTGTCTTTGGGACCTTCCTGGGATTGGAAAAATAAGTGATCTTGGCAGCCTGTCTTGTGCTTCCAGCTCTTCTGAATCTCAACGCATAACATCTGCACTCTCTTTGTGTGATGTATACATACTGGTGTCTCCTTTGAGGCTTAGATTGGGAGCCATACAGTTGCTGCAGCAAGCATCCTCCCTAGGGAAAGAATGTTACCTGGTGCTTTCCATGGCAGACTTGATTGTGGAAAAATCCATTGTAGAGGTGAGGCAATGGACTGAGGAAGTCTTGGGTAAACTGGGTCTCCAGCAGAGCTTTTTTCTGGTGTCTGCTCATCATCCAGAAACCTTGGACTTACCCAAGCTAAAGGAGACGATGAATGCAGCCTTTCCGAGTCATAAGAGAGTTGCTCTTGCCAGATACGCAGCAAAGCAACTGGACGGAGATGTATTCTGGAAAAGATCAGATTCTTGCAAATTTATGTAAATAATTAAAAAAGGGTATATTCTCATACTCAAGCATGTTTTATTAGGGAGGGATTCCTGTTTGTTTAACTGCTCATCACTCTCCAAATATAGTTCATCCCTATATAAGAACCACTCTAGTCCGATGCAGTGTATTAGCTAGTGACTACTGACTAAAGCCTTTTTTGTACTTGATGTTTATTATTTGTCACTTTTTTTTTAATTTTCAGGCTACCCATATCTTCCTGAATTCTTTTGTTCAGACATAATGTGAATATACATTTACCCATTTAGATTGTTTTCTTTAGAATAAATTCTTGCGTGCCACCATATTTGCAAAACATGCAATATTTCATGCAATTAGGCGAAGGTCTAAATATTGTAACATTTTGCAAGCTATGATAGTGTGTTGTATTTTTTCTTCTCTGTTCATGATTAATTTAGTTGAAAAATAAGCCAATAATTTTGGAATTTACACTTGATATTTACATTTTCTGATGTGATAAGTGGTGTTTGCCCGTGCAAAACCTGCCACCACAACATTAGGGTTGCTAGAGTGTTGCTGTGCAGTCACCGAGGCATTCAGAGTGTTTTAGTGAGTTGCTAATGTATGTGGTTGCTACGGTGTTTTGGATGGTTGCTTAGTGGTTGTATGTTGGCCCAAATCAAAAGGGCCCTCCCCTAAGTCTCTATGATATTCGGTTCTTTCTTCAATAAGCCACATGGTTTGATGTAAAATGTAGCACAAATGGTGTGAGAAAATGTATGCTGAAGTTTATACTTAGGGTTTGTAGTTTAGCATGACTTATCAGATTTTCACTTTCACTACCACAAGTATTCGATCTGCAAAGCCAGTAAGAATTTACATTAAGCAGGTGTGTCAGGAAACAGGAACTGGTCTATTGGTTCCTAGTGAAGCATGGGTGAAGTGAATCTGATGTCCGTATCTTCATCCGTGCCACTCACACCATTTCATTTCTGTGATGGAAAACAAGGGAGCTGCAGTCTAATTATTCACTCACCACCTCACCTATTAACCACACGACCCCACCCTCCAGTGCCTCTGGGTGAAGCCATCTGTGAACGTTAGTTACTCCGCTTTGTCCAGGGAGGAGCCACAAACCACTTTCCTCAAAGCCATAGGGCAGCACTAACATTCAATTTTAAACTCACCCATCATGAAAACATGACCGATTGGTTCAGAAATGCTCAGTGTGCCGTGAAACGCCTGCACTGCTGATGAAAAGACGCACAGTGCATTAACATCTCGCAGCATTATTTGTGAACATTTGATGATCACCTTGGGGACATTGGCTGTTGCACCACATGGTGTTTGTAGGGATAACCGTTTGGCCTTAAGAGTGAAAGACGACTAAAAATTTAAGCTGAATGAGCAAGAGTCAACCAGTCATCTGTCAGCTGAAGACTTGTATGCAAACAACATGAACCTTGTAAGTAATGGATTGTCAATGCAGTGTTACTTGATGCCAAAGCTGATGGGACAAATGAAAAGAAGAGTTCGGGAGATGAGAAACCCAAAAGCTATGGTCTCTTCAGTGGATCAGAGTCACAACGAGAGCACACGACTATGGATGCTCTCTTGGACAGAGGGACTGATGGATACCAGGAAGTGCTGATCAAAGAGAATGAAGCAAACTTTCTGTCAGCGCAGGAGAAAACGTACATCTTAAACAACATTAAAAAGCCTCTCACTGACCGTGAAGAGGCAGACAGTGATGAAGAGATTTCCAGTTCTCCATCAGTTTCTTCGGAGACATACTTTCCTGCGGTCACAGAGAGTGAGCCTCCACTTCTTGATTACGGCTGGCCGGTGGCTGACTGGAGTTACCATCTGCAGGGGATTCCTAGTGTGGAAGTGTTCTTCCACTCAGTCAAATCCTTTTCCATGAAAGACCTGCTGCGGGAACTGATCAGGCAAGCAACTGAAGTAAGAACCTGTCATTTGATAGTGACATTTTTAGATTGTTTACTGCCATTATTGTTTCAAATATCGATTTTGTGATGCTAGAAAGATGCACATGCAATTGCAAACAGCACTTTCCATGAAGACAGTACACTTTGGTGCCACACAACTTTTTTATATTTAAGTATTGGTGGAACAAATTGAACAGTTTGTCATCCAATTATTTTATAGCATAATTATTTGTTTTTATTAAGTAAAATTTCACATTTAATGTGTTCAATGTGTTACTTGATGTTGCTTTGTAATAATTTGCGATGTTTATTGGTATAAATTGCACTACACACACACAAAAGAAAAAGAAAAAAAAGGACTTTTAAAATGTATGTCCCAAGTTTTGATAAGAGTTGCAAAATTAGTTGTTTTTTTTTAAATGTCAAATTTTAATTGTTCATATGTTTTCTAGTTGTTCAATTGTTTTAACCCCTGAAAGGCTGAAAATTGTAAAGCATTGTAAAGCTTAAAGGGTTAGTTCACCCAAAAATGAAAATTAGGCTGTGTTTTACTCACCCCAGAGGTATCCTAGGTGTATATGACTTTCTTCTTTCAGACGAATCCAGTCGGAGTTATATTAAAAATTGTCCTGGCTCTTCCAAGCTCTATCATTGTAGTCAGCGGGTGTTGCAGTGCTTCAGTCCAAAAGAAGTTAAATAAAAAGTGCCCAACCATAAAAAAAGTGTCACACGGCTCCGGGAGGTGAACAAAGGCCTCCTGTAGCGAATCGATGCGTTTTTGTAAGAAAAATATCCATATTCAAAATGTAATAATCACTTGAATCTAGCTTGCGCTCACTGTTGTAAACGGAAGCAGTTCCGGGCGGATGACCTATGAGTCATGAGACAAAAACATTTTTGTTTTAATCATTTCAGCTTTAGATTGGCTGTCTATTGCTAAATGTTTGCAATACATTTACATTTTTGCATTTGGGAGATGCTTTTATCCAAAGCGACTGACATTGCATTAATCTAGTTTATCATTGCATACAGTTTTTTCTTTTAATTTCGAGAATACATACAATACAAAAATGTACTTTTGGAAATGCATTTTTTTTAAATCGTCAGTTGTAGCATCTAAAAACACACATTTGCCCAATACATTTATATAAATTTGATCTAAAATTGTGTTGTTAAAAAAATAGATAGTTTATTTCAAGTAGCAGCTCTTTACTCTCCATTCACAGCAGTAATTGCAAAAATAATGCTGTTTTCAGACAAATTTCAAACACTCCCAACATCTTCCATTGTAGCATGGAAGCCCTCCCCAAACTCACACTGCTGGTTGAGCCAATGCATTTCCATCAATTGCTTTTCCATATGGTGCTGCTATTTATGCAGAAACTTCACCTTTTACCAAGTCTCTCGTTTGAGTGTTTTTCACTGATGAGTTTTACTTTTGTCAGTCTCACCTGGCTATCCTGGCAGGTTCACAGAAGCTTGGCCGTACTCTTCAAAGGCAGCGGGGTTAAACCTTTCGACCTGGAGTTTCGCAGACTCTATGCCATTTCTAAACCAGTCCCAGGATTTACCTGCCACACGTCAGATCCTGGTGATCCCTGCCTACCCATTGAGAAACTCCAGATCCCGATGGGCCCGGCCGTAACTGCTGGAAACACTCCCGACCACCTACAACAGAAACCTCGTCAGCCCAGGAACCCGAGTTTCCTAACAACTCAAGTCCTGGCCAGACAAACCAGCTATCCAAACGTCACCACTGGACCGCAAATATCTCAATGGCTTCCACGGAGGAACACGATCCATCACCCCATTGCTTCTCAGTCCCCACATTTCAAAGATTTTAATACGAAGAGCCAAACTTGGCGTCCAAAACAGGGCAATCACATCAACAGAGGTGTTCCTGCAACTTCCCATTGGTGCTAGAGCAGGTTATTGTAATGCTTTATTAGACACTGGTGGTGGGTAGATTGTATTGGTAGATGTAGAAATGTATTTATGTATTTTAAAACATTTAACTTTATTCTGCTTTGTAACAGTAAAAGCATGTAACTCCTGTAAAAGATACATTCAATTATAAAAATACAATCAATATTCATATTAGGCCTATTCAAATGTCTCCTCCAGTGGTCTGTGCATGGATAAAGCTGGAGTCTCCTCCTGCAGTTTGGTGTAGAGTTTGTTCCACCACCTGTCATCAAAATCTTTAATATAAAGTCCTGATAAACTCTCTCCATCTTGGTTTTCCTCTCTCATCTTCTCTGGATTGAGGTCTTCTGCCATCACCTAGATCAGAATAAATGAAATCAGTTTCTAATGTGAGACCATGGATTTTCATTACAGATGTTTTGGGGAGTTGTGTGAGAGATGTGCAATTCTGTTATGTATACATTTAGAGAACTAACTAACTTTTTTGATGCACAACAATTCAATCACATTGAAGTAGTAACTTTAGAAAACACTGCAATGGAATACTGTAACACAGTTCGTAGTCATGGGAAGAGGAGGCGGGAACCGGCGAACATTTAAAGAAAACTTTAATAAAATAAACAAACATAAAATTAAAGTAAAGCGGCAGCCCCTCGCGGATGACTGCCGCACACAAAACACAAAATAAAGTCCAGGCCTGGTCCTCTCTCGTCCAACACTGTCGTCAGTCCTCCTTTTATCCTTCTGGAGCTCCTCCGTGGGACTCGAGACCGGTGAGTGGCGCAGGTGTCGCGCATTAGCATTTACTCCACCGGCCTCGCTCCGTTCCCACGGCTCTCGTCACAAATACTCAATCCATAAATTAAAAGTTATGTCATTATTTTTCCACCCTCTTGTTGTTTCAAACCTGTATGATTTTCTATGTGTTCAGGCACTACATTACATGTCTTCTGAGTTTGTGATGACATTAGGGTGAATAAATAGTTACAGAATTGTCCATTTTGGGTGAAGTATTCCTTTAAATACTGATTGCACAAACAATTATCAATTGTAAGACATCAATAAAGGTGGATTTGTGTTAGTAGTCTAAGTCTGGGGTTATTCAATTTTTTGATGCCAAGGACCCCTAAATACAATGACCCCACTTTCTTAAAATCCGACATAATAAAGACAGTATATTGTTTTCTTAATTAAATAATTGAATAATAAACAACTACTGTGTGTGTGTATATTAGGGCTGCACGATAAATCGAAATGGAATCGAGATCGCGATTCGACAGAAGCTGCGATTGTCATGCGTATCTTTCAGTGAAGCACGGTTCTGTGATCAGCAGTAAATCACCA